TTACAAGATCCGCGTGCCTCAACAGGCTGTGAATTTGTGAGTGAGTGACCATAAGCTGAACCTGGGAGCGGCGTCTGTAACACAACTTTATCCCAAAGCACTTTCATCAAAAATAAAAATAATAATGGGGAAAAAAATAGAAAAATAACTGTCCCCTTTTTCTGTTTTAAAACGTTCTTAAATCTTCTTTGTTAAGCTTTTTGCAAAAAGTTCTTGCATCTGTAAATCCTTAGTCTCTTTTTATTTTTGTAATCCCGAAAGAAGGTTTAACTCACCACAAGGAACCTTATCTTTGCTGCAAAGGAAATCTCTCTGTATCTATAGATTATTTCCTAAAGCGGTTAAGAAATGAGGATGGCACGGTTCCTATACACCGCAGTTGTGAGCATAGATGGAATCCTGGGATTCCTGGCAGCTCAACTCCTGAGCTGGCTTGCAAAAACTTCAATTTCTGCAGTATACTCACAAGGAGCTGCCATCCAGACTGCAAGTGAGTTATCTCATGATCTCCCGTTAATCTAGGGAGATTTTGCTGGCCAGTGTCTACCTTCCAGCCTGCATTCTCGCCTGTAACGTCTCTCCACTCCTTTGGAAAAATCAGCCCGCCATAATTCCTCACTGGAAGCCTAGAAATATATATGGATGTCTAGAAGAAATCTGTCAGCCCTTTAGGGTAGATCAGACTAGGAAACCAAAGTCATGCCAGCTCATATAATTTTTATTATAGAGCTATGGTAACAGTATATTTCAAGTCTGAATGTGCTTGCCCCTTTCTTCTCTTTACCTTTTTGAGAACTAGGGAAGGTCATGTCTGAGAAGCTTATCCAAATTACATTTCTGCCAGACTCAGATTTCTTTTTATCAGACTGTCGTCTTGGTAATGGCTCTTCCTACTGTTCCTCAAGGTTATTCCTTCTTCCCATTACAGAATCTAATTAAAGCAGAATAAAGCAGAAATATTACCTCCCACATCCAGCTTCTACTTCTTGAAAGGAGACTGGACCAGGAACAGCCTCAAGAGATACCCGTCTTTAAAAACTCCTGAAGAACAGCTTCCCCTCAAGTAACCTGTTTCCAAATTGAACATCTTTTACCATCACTCCTGCAAGACCTGCAGTTTCCTCATGCCCACTGACTAAATGGAGAAAACAACTTTGCTCCCTCCTCATCTTCAGCTATTACAAAAGGGAAGGGATTTGTGTTAATGGCCATACTTTCAAAGTTTTCCTGTCTCTAAGGGCAGTAAGGATATTGTGGCAACACTATCACAGCACTGAGAAAACATAACAGTTCTAGTTTGCTTTTTCATCTTTTGGCCACCAAACATGGTGATGGAATTAAGGACAGGTACTAGAGAATGCCCAAAAGGGGGTGCTCCTCTCTTTATTCGAAGCCTGGGCTAATTTCCTCTCTTTTGCTCCAGCCTAAACTTTTCCTCATTCAAATCTTCAATTTCCTTCCAGTTTATCCATTTTTGGGGTGGGCTGCCTTCACTTAACTCCTGGCCATTACATGAACGAGTCTCTGCAGTTTCCTTGGCCACATTTTCAGAAGTGGTTTGCCCTTACCTTCTTCCTGGGACTAAGTAGCACAAAATCACCCAGCTGGCCTTACACCTAAGGCAGGACTAGAACACATGGTTGTCTGGTTTTTGGCCTAGTGCCTTTAACCACTACACCATACTGGCTCTCAATTTGGCCAATATCCTTAAATTATGGCACCTAGAAATAGACACTGGATAGTACTATATTCCTCTTGAGGATGAAAAGGACATTAAAGTGCAATTGTATTCCTGAGCTTTGGAATGAGGCGACTCCAGTTCCTGATCCAGCAGGCAAAGCTCTGGGGGGATAGAAAGTCTCAAGGAACACAGCAGGACCCTGGATCTCAATGTTCCCAAAGGGCATGTTGGCTATAGGGGTTTACTTCTGAAAACAACATACTGTAGATTGGATGAAAATAACCCACCACAATTAATAAACCTTGAAAGTTAAGCCATTACATGTTGGAAACAACCTGCACCCATACAATATGGAGGAGCATCTAGTAATTATAAAAACTAAAGCCGAGTAATCTTTTCACAGATAGCAAGACCAGCGGCTCTCTGGAACGATCTCATGTCAACACGTGTTTTGCAAATGGACCTCTCAGTAGTGCGGTAGTGCATGCTTGTGATTCCTGTAATGGTGACATAAGAACTAAACACAGTCTAACACTTCAAGTTAGAAGTGCTGAAGAAAAACTTGATTTATCTAGAAATGAAATTAACTTTGTATCTTAAATATACCCTCTAGAACTCTTCCCTCTATCTAGAAGTACATCACAACTGTTACTTGCAGAACACCTTGTAATCTCCCTACGAGTGAGCCACTTGGAATTTGAATGGGTTGGTCTATCATTCCCTGCTGCGGTTTCCTTTTCTAAAATAGCTTGGGGTGTGTGTATGTTTAAATTAATACAGACAAACATTTAGGTTCATTCAAAAAAACATAAAATATGTTGGAACAGTATTAGTATGGTGCCATGTAACGTGTAGGTGGTTATGTCAATAATTTTTTGCTATGTAATACACTATAAAATCAGAGATAACTACAAAATGTCTTTATTGAAAAAAGCAGATTATAACATCTAAGGTTAAATGAAATTCTGACTTTTAATATTAAAATAACTTAGGATGACAGTAAGCTTTTTTAGATAAATAAATCTACATTTCCCAATGTTTATTCTTCAACAATCACGGAAACCAAGTGGCCATACAAAAACCCCGACAAGTCTCTCTATGAACTAAAAAACTGAAGTTTTAGAAAGATATATACAAACATGGTTAAACTAATATATTTGCAGATTTAAACTAGACACATAATATACAAATTGGGCATTTATATATTTCCTACAAAATAAAAATTAACATTGGTCCAAGTTCTTGGAAAAAAACTATATTCTTTTAAAGAAAAATGCAAATATTTCTCAAGAAAAAAACTTAATTTAAGTCAAATTATATACTCTAGTTGTGGCATTAGTTGCATATTGAATCACAGAAGTTTATTGGGGCCTAAGAAAAGACTTGTTTGCCTTCTTTAGAGTTTTAGTTAAACTCAATGGAGTTCTCCCATCAATTTTTGCAATTTTATCATTTATAAATTATAAAACATGCACCCTCTTGTTTTGAAACAACTATTTCCCCATCCTTAACTACTTCAATCTCCTTTGGAATCTTACATTATGGGGCAGGATGGGTCTTCCAAATACATTTACTGTTTTTTCATTAAGTGCACTTTCCACAAAATGAACTGAAGAGAATCTCTGGTTCCTCACCCATGCACATATGAATCAGTGAAATGAGAGAGAGAGAGGACAAATCTCCCATAAATAATATTTTGGCACAAATGTTAAAAGCACTTCATCCCTGTGGAGCCAAAACTCTTCTGAAGTAAACGTAGAGGTGGCACTTAACTTCCAGTGTTGTCTTTGCAGCTGTCCACAATCTTGCGTCCCCGAGGGTGCAGCACCCATCGTCCTTAGGTACCAGCCAGAGGGCACTCTGCTGATGAGAAAGGCTGACAGGCAGCTTCCCCTGGCAGATTCTGGCAGAGAAGCCCCCTCCCTCGTGCGTTCAGCAAGAGATGCCCGGTGGGCAAAGCAAGCATGCTGCTGTGGCGCATGGCCAGCCTGCCAGTTGACAGGCACTGGGCTCCACCATTCAGCAACTATTAATGGGAGGTAGCAGGCTTCACATTGCAGAATTGAGTTTATTTTTGCTGCATGACACTTTCTAGCTGTTTTCTCTTTAAAGACAGTGTTTTTAATATGGAAAAAGGCATTGATTGGAAAGACAGCAGAACTCTGAGCTGTGATCAGATTTTGGTGATGGGGGAAAAATAAAAATTAAAACAGCAAAATGTTGATGAAAGAAATCAGGCAGTTTGACAAATCTATTTAAATATGTAAAGGTAATCTAAAATATTTTAAACAAGTGAAATAAATAGCCTGGTAACAAGTTTGAGAAACAGTACCATGTGTAAATATTTTAGATATTTTAGATGTTATGCTATTTGCTGAAATTTAAGGCACAGACAAGTTTGCCATTAAATCAAGATGCTAAAAACTCAACAGCAGAGGAATGAGGGAGGTACTTTCTTCAGTCCTAGGTTTACACGTCAACCTGGAAATTTGTTTGAAGCTGAATCGACTCTGATCCAGAAGAGCAGACAGTACACAAAGCTGGACAAGGGAGAAGGAATGAGAAAGCCATCTGTGAGAGGAGGTGGTTTGGGAATGGGCGGTAGGTTTCTTTACAGTAAAACTCAAAACAAATTATGTGAAAATTACAGTGTGGATTTTCTGCAAACTTCAAAACATGGAAAAGCAGAAGGAAGCATCTGGAACAGCCTTAAAAGGGCCGATCTGACGGGATATGGGGGGGAGGTTTCTTTCCAATGGGCCCCAACATGCTCACATGCACATTTGGAAGGAACTACGTACATTCCTTTTGTGCTGACTCGCCATGAAGATTCTTCACCCTTCTCAGTACTTTAGGATAGAAAACGTTCCTGCTACGGCTGGCAGGACTCTTTGGATACTTTGGGGAAATTCAGCCTGAACTGCTGTGGAAAATGCTGCTGCTCTCCTATTGGGGTCTCTTTTAGAGTTTTCAAACAGATTTAACACTGTTATTTTCACCTGATTCCCAAGGCATACTTTCACTGGAGTTACTGGAGCACCCACAGCTTTCTGACCACCAAGACCTGGTCCAGTTGGTTTTATCAGAAGTAGCAAGCTAAAACCATTGAGGGCCAATGTATGCAAGGAATTAATACAACGCGGCTGAACAAGCCTAAAATGATGCTGTCCACTTTAATTACATAACTCTTCAACTCAAATAATCAAAAGGTAGCTTATTTTTTTAATAGAAAAACTAAATTTTTTTCATGTGGAATAGAGAGTTGGGAGTGTGCTTTAAAAACTTAGCCAAAATAGAAGCATAAGTCTTCTAACATTTCTTAACAATACATCATTTCATATCTAATGTTTTAAATTTTGCTAAGTTTTCAAGAAAACCCAGACAAGCTATAGGTCAACATGCCAAAAGGCTATATATAACCTTTTTTTTTTTTATTCCAAATTTGAGGCTGTTTTGCAGGTTTGTGTGTTCAAAATGCAAAATGCTCCAAATTAGCTCATTCCTTCCTTGCTACCTGTCTGAGCCAGTTTCTTGCCTCCAGAGGCCCGGGAAAAGGGCGACCATCTCCCGGGGCTTTCAAAGCCGCTCCGTGAGCCAGCTGAAAAACTGCTTTGTGGCGGTCGAGAAGCCACGAAAGCAATACGCCCAAGTGGTGCGGACTCAAGCGCAGTGGGTGTCGCTTGGCCTTCAAAGCTGGATTATAACCAATTCGTTAAAAAAACCAATAGTGTGAAGCGACTGTCTCAAAAACACCTCTAGAAGAAACATGTCTGCAACTGAAGTCACACCACAGAACTGCCACCCCCTTAACTGAAAGAAAGGGGATGGCATAGTGTACATTTGCCATAGTCGGGGCACCCAAGGTGGCGGCGGCGGGATGTCAAAAAAGTCAAGATGGTGGCTATAATCACTCAACTGGAATCACCATCTTGAGTTTTTTTTTATCTTTTCTGTAGACACTCCAGGCTAAAGTTATTAGGAGAAATCAGTTTCAAAATAGGTGACTTTGAGAAGTGCCAAAAATGCATGGAAGTGACATTTGAGAAAGATCTTGACAAAAGAGAGCCTGATTCTTTGCCTGCACAGTCACCAGGTGGATCAAGACCAAGAAGCTGTTTCCCCCGTATTCAGGAAAGAAGAATGGCCAATGGAGCCCCTGCAGGTAGCCTCAAGGACCTCAGCCCTGGTCATTTCTGCTGCCATTGATAGCAGGGAGCAGAATTGTTTTGGGGCTCCAGGCTACATCTGAGTTTTGGGGTGCTGGGAAGATTCCCTTCAAAAATGAGTGGCGGCAGGTCCAAAGAAATGAATGGGGTTAGGACAGAAACAAATTGACTTAATTCAAATCTGAATTAATTAAATTTAATGAATAAGTGTATATGTACTTAAAATTTTCCCATTCTGACACATTAAGATTGGCAACTGAGGTGCAACTTTTGAAGAATTCTAAGGAAAAACTAAGGATTGGGAAAGGTGAAGCTTCGCCCTTTCTCCCCACCTGCAATGCTGATTTCAGCAAGAGCCCTCTGCACACAATTGCTGCCTGGCAGACCCCAGAAAGTTATGAGGTAGCCTGTCTTCCCAAACAGCCCTGCAGCTTTCACCTTCATTGTGCACGTGTCCTGCCCCCACCTGGAAACAGGTAAACAGGCACAAGAAGCCTCACACCCTTGCCAAAAAACTATGAACCATGTCTGACATATCCTGGAATAGGAATGCTCTCCATGCTTTCATTAAGAAAAAACCCAGTGGGCTTCCTGCACATAATGTCTTGCATACTCTTTTGTTCTTGTTTTGCACAGAAACCCAATAAAAGAACAGGGTGGAAAGCCAGCAGGTATCACCCACACTGTTGTCAGTTGTTTCTTTTAAGTCACATTCAATCTGGCCATCAATCTTTTCACTCATGCAACCATTGTGCCCCTCAAATTATGAGAACCACAAGGTCAGGGTGCAAGGAGACCTAAAAAACAGTAAAAGCATTTTTGGTCTCTTTCCTGTTGGGAAGATTAAGATTCTTCTGGGAGCTCAAACAATCAACAGTAAAAACGGAAGCAAGCCCATATTAATGGAGGGCCAGTCATCCCAACAGCTCTGACATCCCTAACCCTAACCCCTTTGCCATCCAATCCATGAGGTGCATCACTTTTCAAGTACCAGCGTCTTGGAAAGAATTACTTAGGCAAATTGTACACAGACCCAAAGAGGTGCCCCCTCCTTCCCAATCTTAGAAGTAATAAATAATTGTGGCTGCTTTGTTTTTCTAGAAAGTCTTTTGTTGAGCTCTTTTCCCAGCAAGTTGTCTTCCTCCTGGTCTTGAGTAGATGGGAAGTGGAAGCCTCAGAGTTCAGTGATATGCATGGGGTACCCAGGGGAAGAGTGTGCTGACACTTTAGTGCCCAAGCGCCTAATATGACAGGCGTGGCAGAGCAGGTGTCTCTCTAATGGATAGCATCGACGGCCTTCCTCGTCATTCAGCTGGAGTCCGCAATCCTAAGAGAAACAAGACCACCCATTAGTGGCCAGTGGACTTAGGGTATCTCTGGGAGATGTGACTGAAAGAAGTCCTCATTTAGCAACTGCCTCATTTAGCTACTGTTTGCAGTTATGACAGTGATGAAAAAGTAACCTTACGACCAATCCTCGCATTTATGACCTTCATAGGTCTGTACAGCAAAGGAAAGGTGAAGTACATTCATGAGCACAATTGTGGTTTCACTTAGCGACTGCTTTGCTTAACAACCGAGTTGCCAATCCCAATTGTAGTTGCTAAATGAGGACTACCTGCAATCCTCTTGCAAGACAGACAAACTTCAGTGCTCACAGAATTCAAAGACATCCATCATTTCTGGAAATTCCAGGTCTATAGAGATCACCAAGTACTGGGAACAGGAAATGGGATAGCAGTAAATTATAGTTGTGACCTCTTTGGAAAGAGTGTTCTGAAAACCCTCAGCAGGGAGGAACAAGCACTCAGAGGCAGTGCTCCTTCTTTGTTCAACCAAGCCCTCATTTGGAGTCCCTGGCAAAAAGGAGGCTAGAAGGCTTCTACAGGCTACAGATGCAGATTATCTAGACCTACACTAGTTGGTTTTTAGGCCTGGGCACAGAATGAACACTGCACTGGTTGTTCTCATAGATGACCTGTGGTGAGACTTGACTGGAGGGAGCATGGTAATATTTCTCCCCTTGGATCTCTCAGCAGCCTTCAATACTGTGGATTACAGTATGTTTCCGGAGTGCTTCTAAGGGTTATGAACAGGAGACAGCATTTTATGGTGGTTTTGCTCTAATTTGAGTGCTTGTGTCCAGTTGGTTATGGTGGGAGGAAAAGGTTGGGTCTACAGGTACTTTTAAGCCTCAGCCCTTTCTACATGGAGTTGTTGGGAAAAGTCATCCAATGGTTTGGGGTAAGTATCATCAATATGCCAATGATACTCAATTGTGCACTTCCATCCTGGGCCTAATGAGATATGGTGAAAGTCCTGTCAGAGTCTGCATGGAAAAAAACCCAAGCAAGATGGAGTGGCTGTTGGTTCAGAAGCCTCCTGATTCTAGAATTGTACCAACTGACTCAGTGAAATTGTGCTCCCCCAGAGAGCAAAGGCTCCCATGCTGGGAGTGGGGAAGGGGTCCTCCTGGATTCTTAGCTCCTGCTTGAGGAACAGGTAGAAGCTGTGGCCAAGGTGGCCTTAGCCCAGTTTCAGCTGGTGCACAGTTGCTCACTTGTGGCTTGTCATTTTTTCCTCCCATTAATTACCATATTTCACTCCACATGGCGTTATGCTTGAAGATCAACAGGAAACCTGAGCTAGTCTGGAATGCAGCAGTGTCCATGCTCATTGAGGAGTCAGGACACTGCCACATTACACCACTGCAGCCAGAGCTGTACTGCTCATGTGTCCAAGTACAATTCAAGGTGCTGGTTGGTATATTTAAAGCCCTAAATGGCTTGGGAACTGGGCACCTAAAAGACCCCCTTTTCGCAGCAGATTTTCCCACTGAAGAGCCTGTTGAGACTTCCCACCTACCAGAGATTGTGAGGAAGACCAGGGGCTGCCTGTGTTCAACACAGCACTGAGAATGATTTTAAGCCACAGTCTGGTGTACAAGGCATTAGGGATGACACATGGGTTAACAGACCATGCTAAGCCCCAACACACTAACCATATTATAGCTTAGCATTGAAGTGTGGGATGCTGCCCACCACACAGCAATCTTTCAACTGTGCCCCTCAGCTGAAAGATGGAGGCTTCTGGATCTGCTAGAAGACACCCTCAGGAGGCAAACGAGTTAATATTTTCCAGGCATCTTTTATTATTTTCTAAAGGTTGATGATCTCCCAAATTTCTTTCTATCTCATTTTGCTATATATCCTGTTGTGCTTTTATTGTTTACACCTTTCTTTATTACTGTTTTATATTACTCTATACATCCTTGTAACCCACCCTGGAATGTTTAAATTAAAGAGCAGCAGAGAAATGCTTTAGACAAATTAGGAAGCAAAAGCAAAACATACCAGGAATATGTGATCAACCCTTTTGAGGGTCTTGAACACATTTCTTTTCCTGGGGGATGCACCAGATCTAAAGTGCCTGCCTGCCTCCCTCCCCTCCTCCAACTGGGCTGTCTTAGCAGCTCCAAGGTTTACCTCGCAGTGGTAACATTCCACGTGGTAATCCCTGTCCATTGACACCACCCGGATGGTCTCTTCAGAACCCTAATTTGGAGAGACAGCAAAAGAGGGTGAAAACTGGGCAGGTGTCCATCATCTGTTCTAAGGAAAACAGGCACTTTGAAACCTCCCTCTGCAACTGTATAAACACCTCTTCGCTATAATAAATGCCACACATGTGGCGGCTGGCCTTGGTCAATGAAACCTTTATTTTGATTCCATTTCCCAAATAATGAATTTCCTTCCTTGAAAAATTAAATGCAGAAATTATGGTTCCTTAACATGCACTTTCTCTGCAAAATTTGTGCTTGGTCCTAGCTCTATAGTGAAAAAGACAGGAGTCCATATTAGCAGATTAGAGAAAGGAAACACTGTAGGAAGCTCATATGGATCAGAGATAGAGAATGGCCAAGATTGCCCACTCAACAGGGCAAATGAATCACTTTGTGGGGCTTAAGCATGTGCCAACACAGTTGACTGGGTCAACGTATGATGCAAATCAAGCCAGTGTCTTAGCATGCCTGAGGAGACGAAGTGTGTGCAATAGGCGTTAGTTTAATGGGCACGGAAAGCCCTTTCAACAGATTGTATCCAAGAGGCTACTGCCTCTTGGTATATACTGCGTGCATGTGTGTGTGTGAGAAAGAGAGAGAGACAGAGAGAGACAGAGACAAATAGACAGGTAGAAGACAGGATGTTGTTCAAATGTCAATCTGGTTTAATTACTGGGACTGGAGCATGGTTAGCTGCACAGACAAAAAGCTGTGTTTGTAGCCAGCACAGAGTGGCTGTGCCAGAGCCAAAACATCAATCAAATGACAAAGAAGAGCATACCTGGGCTGGCAAAATAGGCTGGTTACAGGACGCACACTTGGGTGCAAAAACCCTAGATTTGGGGGGGAAAAAGAGGTTAATTTTTTCTTAAGAGAAAGAGATAAAGAGAAAGAGAATGGTAGGCAGGCAAGCAGTATTTTAACAACTGAGAGCAAGCAAAGTTGGCTAATCCCAACTTCTTCCCATTATTGTGTTCCATTTTTTAGACCATAACAGCGTGTGAAATCTTAATTTAGCTATGGATTTATGACCATCCTTCCATTCAAAGCAGGACAGCTTAAGAAAATGATCCCATTAACCCAGTACAGCCCACCAATAGTTTACTGGTCTTCCTGGGCAGGAATGAAGCCTGAAGATTATACTGAACGGCTGCCATCTAGTGAGACCCATTTGGTCCCCATGAGCCATCACTTTTGCAGGTAGGATTTAATTCATCTCCAAATATCACTGATGGAAATATTAAAAAAAAAAAAAGATGTGATCTCCTTTACGATTTGGAGCAGTTCTTTTTACACTTTCAATGTAACATACAAAAATGTTGAAAACTAGATCTCCTTGCTGTCAGTCCTTAAACAGGATTTGATCCTGGATATTGTTTCCTTTAGCTGCAGTCAACCCTTCCTCATGACCTGAGCAGTGGGTCCCCCTCTTTTCTCCTGCCCTGCAGAGCTCTGCATTCTCACGTGTGATAGTCTTTGACACAGTAAATATTGTTCTCCACATCTACAGTGAAGGGTATGCCATCCAGACATTCATTGCACACCACACAGCGGAAACAGCCAGGATGGTATGACTTCCCAAGAGCTTGCAAAATCTGTAAAAGAATCACAGGTCACAAATTACACAAAGTCTCTTCCTGATGGCTATAATTTGTTTCATGCATCTAGAAACAGTACATGCAAGGCTTGGAAAAATCATTTAGATGATTAAGGTCTTGGAATGACCATTGGAGCCACTGGCACTGTGGAGGATTCCTCCCCATGAGAAGCCCAACTCTAATAAGGCCTCTCTCATTTCCTAAGCCACAATGCAGTATTAGTTTGCCACTGCCTCTCTTAGTTTGTGTTTGTATTTTTTTAACTTCCCAGCCTAGCCAGCAGTGCTGGCATTTCCTAGAAATCTTCAATCCAAGTACTAACCAATAAGGATGACTGCTTCTCCCCCATTCTGCTCTTCTGCAAATTTTGGAACCAAGTCTGAATTTGCAACCAGCCTCCCTGAGAAGTTTTAGGCCTCAAAATTGAACTTTGTTTGCGGCAATCGCTCCAGGAGACATTAAAAGGGAAGATTCACCCAATATTACCCTCTGCAGGCCCAACTCTTTGATTGGTAGATGGACTATAATTGTCCCTTATCTTTCTGACTCTGTCTTGATTTGCATTCTGTGCTATGTGGAGGAATTCCCAAGCCTACTTATGATGCTTCTTGCCAAAAGAGTCAACACGCTTTTTATTGTCAGAACTCCTATGTGTTCATTCAGTCCAGATACTGGTAATATCCTCCCACCTGCATTGAGCAAACTAATACATTGTCTCAAGGTAGAGAGTCTTGAGTTCGAAAGTATTTTCAACCATGATGGCCATGAGGTAGACCTAATCATGTCATTATTTTGCAGAATTCTGTGATGAAAGTGAAATAAACTCTTGATGTTCTAGCTCTGGCCTCAATTGATGTCCTTCAGATGTGTGGGATTACAATTCCCACTGTTCCCAGCTGGCTTGGCATTGGATATGCTAATTGGAAATGATTGTCTTGTGAGTCCCAAACATCAGAGGGCACCAAAATGGGGGAATAAATTTTCCCCAGATCAAATTGAAGAGGAAGAATCAACCTTTAAATCTGAAGCTCTCAGAGAAGGAAAAATGATTCTTCCAAATGCATAATTAAAATAGAACAGAACAAAACAAAGAAAACAACAACACTGAAAATCAAGTTCTGAAACCCAGGTAAACAGTTTGCGGGGGGGGGGGGGCAACCCCAAGTGACCCTAAGGGAGAAATAGAGATTTGGAGATGTGAGAAAAAGATGAACTGCAATGCTGTTGAGTGCCCCTGTGAGTTGCTTCAGCATACAAGAACCTACTTCTGTGAAAATTCCAGCACCTCCTCTATGGCTTTGATGCTTCAACCAAAATCAGGTATGTATGTATGTATGTATGTATGTATGTATGTATGTAT